CTTTCTTCACAGAACTGGAAAAAACCACCATGAACTTCATATGGAACCAAAAGAGAGCCCGCATAGCCAAGTCAATTCTAAGCAAAAAGAACACAGCGGGGGGCATCACACTACCGGATTTCAAACTATACTACAAGGCTACAGTAATCAAAACAGCATGGTACTGGTACCAAAACAGAGATATAGACCAATGGAACAAAACAGAGGCACCGGAGGCAACACAACATACATACAACTATACAATCTTTGATAAACCTGACAAAAACAAGCAATGGGGAAAGGATTTCATGTTTAACAAATGGTGTTGGGAAAACTGGCTAGCCATGTGCAGAAAGCAGAAACTGGACCCCTTCCTGACACCTTACACTAAAATTAACTCCAGATGGATTAAAGACTTAAACATAAGACCCGGCACCATAAAAACCCTAGAAGGAAATCTAGGCAAAACTATCCAGGACATAGGAGTAGGCAAGGACTTCATGAACAAAACACCAAAAGCATTGGCAACAAAAGCCAAAATAGACAAATGGGACCTAATCAAACTCCACAGCTTTTGCACGGCAAAAGAAACAGTCACTAGAGTGGATCGGCAACCAACAGAATGGGAAAAAATTTTCGCAGTCTACCCATCTGACAAAGGGCTGATATCCAGAATTTACAAAGAACTCAAACAGATTTACAGGAAAAAAAACAAACAAGCCCATTCAAAAGTGGGCAAAGGACATGAACAGACACTTTACGAAAGAAGACATATATGAGGCCAACAATCATATGAAAAAATGCTCATCGTCGCTGGTCATCAGAGAGATGCAAATCAAAACCATATTGAGATACCATCTCACGCCAGTTAGAATGGCGATCATTAAAAAATCTGGAGACAACAGACGCTGGAGAGGATGTGGAGAAAAAGGAACACTTTTACACTGTTGGTGGGAGTGTAAATTAGTCCAACCATCGTGGAAGACAGTGTGGCGATTCCTCAAGGCCTTAGAAATAGAAATTCCATTTGACCCAGCAATCCCATTACTGGGTATATATTCAAAAGTCTGTAAATCATTCTACTATAAGGACACATGTACACGAATGTTCATTGCAGCACTGTTTACAATAGCAAAGACCTGGAATCAACCCAAATGCCCATTGATAATAGACTGGATTGGAAAAATGTGGCACATATACACCATGGAATATTATGCAGCAATCAGAAATGATGAGTTTGTGTCGTTTGTAGGGACATGGATGAATCTGGAGAACATCATCCTCAGCAAACTGTCACAAGAACAGAAAATGAAACACCGCATATTCTCACTCATAGGTGGGTGATGAAAAATGAGAACACATGGACACAGAAAGGGGAGTACTAAACACAGGGGTCTATTGGGGGGAAAAGGGGAGGGCCAGTGGGAGGGGGAGGTGGGGAGGGATAGCCTGGGAGAAATGCCAAATGTGGGTGAAGGGGAGAAGAAAAGCAAAGCACACTGCCATGTGTGTACCTACGCAACTGTCTTGCATGCTCTGCTCATGTACCCCAAAACCTAAAATCCAATAAAAATTAAAAAAAAAAAGATTTTTGACCAAGAAATTCTATTTTAATTCATATATTCTATAGACATATTTATACATGTATCAAAGGGAAGGATAAATAATCAATGCAGCAGTATTACAATGTCTGTGGTGGCAAAAGAATGTAAACAATTTAAAGGTCCATTAAAGATCAGGTTAAATAAATTACAGAAACAAACAATGGGATATTTGCTGTTTAAAAAGCAAGAAGTAGATCTATATGCACTTACCTGGAACTATAAGATCAGGTAAGATGAAAAAGTATGGGACAAAGGTGTCTAGTATACCATTTATGTAAAGAGAGGTTGGGGAATTTACGTATATGCTGGTATATACATATATCTGAATTGATAGCTAAGAAACTCTAAACAGTGGCTGTTTCTCAAGTGAACCAGGGCATTAGGGCTTTCTCCAGAGTTGGAGAAAGTCTTTTCGTGGCAAGCAAAATAATGCTCTGCCCTTCCCCCACCAAAAGAGATCCATGGCCTGATTGCCCCAGGACCTGGGAATATATTACCATTTATAACAAAAAGGACTTTGCAGATGTGATTAAGACCTGAGATGGGGAAAATCATCCACATAAGCCCAATATAATCCTAAAGGTCCATGTAAGAGGAAGGCAGAAAGATCACTGTCAGAGACAATCTAACCTTCTCTGGAGGAAAATTTAAAGATGCTATGCTGCTGGATTTGAAAAGGGAAGAATGCAAAGAATGTAGATGACCTCTAGAAACCAAAAAAATTCATTAGAGCCTCTTGAAGACTGACAGCCCTGACAACACCTTAATTTTATCTCAGTAAAGACTCATTTTTGGACTTCTGAACTCCAGTGATTTCAGAAAATGAATGTGTTGCTTTAAGCCATTAAATGTATCACTTTATTATAGCAGTTAATACAAAACTAATACAGTTTTTATGAGCAACCATTTTCTATTGTTTTAAACAATGTACATGCAGTACTGTCTGAAAAGGGTTGATTAGGTAGACTTTTATTAATGTTTTTCTTTAGTTTTACTAACTTCCAGGAGCAAGTTTTCACTAGTAAATAATCTCTACGAGATTTACTAAGCTGATTCGTTGTTGTAGCTCACATTTATAGATTTGGCCCAAAAACACACAATCCCTACCATTAAGGTAACAGTGAACGCCCACAGTAATGTGCATAGATAAATGCAGGGAGGATGATGCACTTTTCAATGGTTTATAGTCTAGCTGGAGAGGAAAACAAGCACACACAAGCTCTATTGATAGGTTTATATAAAAATGAACATACCCATGGGTGCCTAGTGGCATAGTATGAACCATACTTAAAAATACTAAAAACCTGGCTGGGCACGGTGGCTCAAGCCTGTAATCCCAGCACTTTGGGAGATCAGTCAGGAGATACAGACCAGTCTGGCCAACGTGGTGAAAGCTGTCTCTACTAAACACACAAAAATTAGCTGGGCGTGGTGGCATAAGCCTGTAATCCCCGCTACTTGGGAGGCTTAGGCAAGAGAATCACTTGAACCCAAGAGGCACAGATTGCCATAAGCCAAGACAACATCACAGCACTCCAGCCTGGGTAACAAGAGCAAAACTCTGTCTCAAAAAAATAAATAAATAAATAAATACTAAAAACCTTTTTAATACATCATAAAAAAGTGTTGAGTGGGATGGATTAATTTGAAAAGATTCTTTATGTATAATAAACTAAATTTGTATATAAAAAAGACATGAACTTGCTGAGCTCCAGCAAAGATTTACAATAAGAGAACATAAATAAATGAGCAAAGTAACAAAGGTAGACAACTATAAGCTGTACTGTTACTATTTATTTATATAACTAAAGTTAATAACATTAACATTCACTAAGTGCCAGGCACTAGACTAGCACATTACACTTAATTTCCACAATTCTATGAGGTAGGTACTATTGTTATCCCAATTAGACAGATGAGTGGTTAAGTAATTTTGCCAGAATGGCAAACTGCGGGAAAGACAGGGGCCCAACTCTGTCCTCTGGGACCACATTCTGAGCTGCACCGAGGAAGGATGCAGCAGAACCACTGATGAGATTGTAACAAAAAAATGACAGAGGCAGAAATGAGCCAATGAAAACAGATTTAAATGCCATTCTTTTGACTTCTATGCCAAAGCAACATACTTATACTATACAAACTGATAAAAGTGAAGCTCTGATAGTCAAGGACAACTACTGTCAAATTACCAATCTATCTTCTCAATCACTCAAACACAATTAGATGCAATTGCTTTAATATTCCACTCTGAAAAGGAAAAAGAAAATATCCTATAAAAAGCTGGAAATCTCCCCAGCAAAGTGACAAGACAACACTGATTTTACATAAATGTGTACAATATAAAACACAAACTTTGCCTCAGCGGTGGATCTAAATAAATAAATAAATAAATAAAGCACAAAACCTCGCCAAAACCAACAAAAGACCCAGATTGTAAAACAAAAATGATTGGCATACAATGAAAAGAGAAAAAAGAAAAGAAACAAAGAGGTCACATTGTGGCCGCAGTATCATAACTTGTGACCTGATTATAAACTTCTAAAATTTTGTTTCTATTGAAAAAAAATTTTGTTTCTATGAGTATTTATACGGCATGTTTCTATTCAAGAATTATCCTCAAGAACACAACAATTAAGTAAAAAAGGCACGAAGAAACAACATACTGTTTCAGAATACAAATATTTAGTAACTATGAAGAAAAATCGTGAAATTATAAATACAAAACTTAGATAACGTTTGCTTCTTAAGGTTTCCTGTAAGTTGTATGTTTAAAGGTACACAGGGCCTTCAAAGGCTATGTTTTATTTCTTAAAACCACATAACACGTAAAGCAGAGTTCCTGAAACTACTAATCTTTACACTTGAAATGTGTTTTAGGAACACTTTTTGTATCTACTCAATTTTTAATAAAAACAACAAAACTGCTTCGGTGTCCTGGAGGGAAGGGGCGGGGTAAAGACAGGATTTAGGGCAAGAATGGGTCACTAAAGGGAGGTGAATGGACGCCGAGGAAGAGGTTTAGACTAAGCCCGTATGAGGCTACCGAGGCCAGAGGGGCAGAGGTGTGTCGGGCCACTGCTCTTAGGAGTTTTGCGAACTCCCCGATGCGTTTACCCGAGTAGGTACAACGGAAAGGTGCAGGGTTTCCCCCGAGGAGGCAGTGACTCGCGAGAAGTTACGCACGAGGCAAACAGGGCATCTGAGTACTTCAGCACTCTGACGCGGAACTCTAAAGTCCAGGCGTTAGGCCTGGGACTCCCCTCCCAGAGGCTATCCCCCCGCACTCCAGACCCTCTCAAACACTTTGCATCCTCCCCTCTACTAGGTTTCCGAAACCGCATCCTGCTTCTCTGCATGCTCGACAAGAGCCTTCCGGGAAACCAACCGGGTGGTTAGGGGAAGCAGAAGGGGGCCCACCATGGTAACGTCCTCGTGGCCACAGAGGAGCTCCGCACTCCAGACACAGGCAATCTCACCAACCGCAGGAGCAGCGCCTCAGAATACTACCCCGGCAGAATCCCACGTGGGGCCCGAGGAGCCGGCGCCTACCCAACCGGAACGGGAGGAGCGAGTGCCTTTCTCTAAAGCGTCCCCGGAAACTGAGATCGCGTCTTTTTCGCCCGTGTTGGGCTTTTAAGCCCTGGCCCAATAGACTGCCGGACCTGCGTGCTAGCCAGGCCCGGCGGGAAGGAGCTTGTTGCGAGAGGGAGTGAGCTTACCGCGGAAGGCTGAACGCGGCCTGGCACAGGAGCTCGAGGCTGGGGATTGGAGTCCGGGTGGCAGACGCTCCTCGCTCCCGGGGCCGTCGCGTTCCGGCCCCAAGAGCGGATCTTGGCCATCTGTCCTAGAGCACGACTCTAGAGCACAGTAGCCTCTGCAGACAAGAGGTTCCCTCTCGCGGGCTCCCGCGTCTCAGGGGCTGGGACCCTCCCAAAAGGGCTGCTCGGTATTGGCCCTCCCGTAGCGCCCTTGTGCGGCACAGGCTCCTGCCTTCCTCTTTCCCTGGTACTAGATTATCTTGGACAAGTCCTTTCGTCCATTGAGTCTGAGTTTCTTTATCTGGAAAGGCCATTTCCTCATATTCAAAGCCTCTGTCAACCCAGTTTTTGTTTTCTTCTCACAGCATGTGAGAGTCTCCCTTTCACGTATACATGTTAGAATTCCGTAGACAATCTAATCATTCAACAGTGATTTATTGAATGCTTACTGTGTGTCTGGTATTGGGGACACTCAGACAATATCCCTCAGCTCATTTTCGGGGGTAGGGGGGAGCATGTAAAAATAATATTTCAAATAATCTAAGTACCCTAATAAAAATTAGCTGCTGGGGCACTAGAAAAGCTGTTTTACACATGTTGGTCTCTTAGTGGAGACTGGAATTGTAAGAGAAAACTAAGCATGGGAAGAAGTTCCAGGCATGAGGAATCTGGTGTGTCTGGATACGTGTGGGCACATGTTACTGGTTGAGGGTAGTTGTCCAGGTTCTTGGCATTTTGAACAAAGAATTGGACAAAACGCAAAAATGAAGCAAGGCAGAGAAAGCAGAGATTCATTTTAAATGAAAGTACGCTCCATCCGGGGAGCGGGCTGTAGCAAGCTGCTCAAAAGCGTGGGTTACACAATTTTCTGTAGTTTAAATAACTTCTAGAGGTTTCCCATTGGCCTGCCACAAGTCTGATTGGTTGAGGGAGGGGACCAATCTGAGGTACCTTCTTTTTTCAACTGCCACACAGAAAAAGGGATTGCAACTGCCAGGCAGCAACTGCCACTCAGAAAAAGGAGGGGCTGAAAAGAGAGTAGCCTCTGATATCCCGTCAGCATGAATAAGCCCTAGGTTCCCTGCTTCCAGACCCTATTCTCCTGCCACACAAATACTTATATTTAATCAACAGATATATCAATTTTTTGAAATAATTTAAATTGTAAACAAGAGTTTGTCCAGAAGATTCCTGAATCTAGAGGCAGGATATTTTCACAGGGCTTTTAATTGGGTTAAAGTCCATTCGTGTGAATCTACACAATGAAGATCACCCTTGAATATATACTGTGGAGGCAGCGCATTCATGCATCACTTAAGGACAGGGATACTTTCTGAGAAATGCTTCAGTGGGGGTTTTGCTGTTAGTTTTTTGTCATGTGAATATCATAGAGTGCACTTTACACAAGCCATATGGTATAGCCTGTTGCTCCTAGGCTACAAACCTGTACAGCAGGTACTGTACTGAATACTGTACGCAATTGTAACACAATGGTAAGTACTTGTGTATCTTAAGAAATGTACAGTAAAAAAATGATATTATAATCTCATGTGCTCACCATTGTAATGTAGTCCATGACCAAAACATTGTGACATGCACATGACTGTACTCTGTGAAAGACTCCAATTGATCTAGAATATTTACACTCTAACTCCATACTTTAACCACTTCCTGAAAAGCCATCTTTCACCCACCCTACCCCATTCCCTAAGTCTGGCCCTGTGGAAATCACCCTTCTAAGTTCTATGTTACTGCAAATCTTATAAATATTAAATGTTTCTTCAGGCTATTTTAGTTGTTACTGATTGTTCTATTGATCATAAAATTCTTACCTACTGCTAACCCATTCCTAAACTACAAACTGCCAACAACTCAATAAGTCATATATTTTGAAACTTTTATATTTTTAGTTGGATTTTGAAAATAAATCATCATATTTTCCTCATTCAGATTCAACCCCTAAATAATAACAGTAATTATAGACATGTTAAAAATATATTGTATATGTTCTTTCTTGGTTGTAGGAAGGGAAGAAAAAAGAAAAATATACTGTATGTGTTCAAAATACACTGTGGCAAATGGAAACGTGAATTATATAGAGTAAGAATAAACAATAATGATGGTTAATGTTTTGTCATAATGTAACGTATATGTGCACCACTGTGATAAGCAAAATAAATCCCCCACTTTTCCCCTGCAATTCAACCTCTTTCTTGCCCCATGTGGTAACCACTGTAAATGATTTGGAGACATCTTTAGAGATATTTTCCTGTACTTTAACAAATATACTCAGATGTGTGTTTATGTGTGTGTTGTATGTATGTATAAGGATTAAGTATTGATTAACATTAGATATTGATACAATAATTACAAATTCATAATTCTAGGGTAACCACTTAAAGAATAGAAATAGGGTACCTAACTTTGTACAGGCTACACACAAGTAGAGAAAATAAAATAAATGGGATGATTAAACTATACTCATGTAATTCAAACTAAGAAAATAAAGGAGAAAAAAAGAAACATAGGACAGTAAGGAAATTTAAAAAATGGCAGTAGATTTACATCCATAAAACAGTAATTATAAATCAACTATCCACAACTAAAAAAAGTCAGATTGTATTGAAAACATCCAACTGTGTCCTATTTATAAGACACATCTAACATACATGAAAATAGACAAATGGAAAGATCTATGTTAGGTGAATGCTAACTGAAAGAATGCTGGTATATGTATATCAATGTTGTATGAAATAGACTTTAGGTAATATGGTAAATATGAAAGATCACTTCATAATGATAAAAAGTTTTCATTTTAAACTCGTGTATATCTAGTAATGTAGCCCCAAAATATATAATGGAAAAGCCAACGCAGTTTCAAGTAGAAAAACAGTCTTGGTGGAAATTGTAGCATGCCTTTTTTCAGTAAATAATAGAACAAACAGATAAACAATCACCAATGACTGAGAAGAGTTGACCACAACACAATTTGAGCAAACAAATCTACACAGAGTAATGCTTCCAGTTCTTACAGGAACACGTGTTTTTATATATGTATGGTATAGTTCACAACATTGATTATACATTGGGTCAGAAAGCAAGTCTAAACAAATCTGAAAGGATTAAAATCTATAGAATATGTTCTATGACCACCTCATAATTAAACTAGAAACCAGTAACAAGGAGAAAGCTAGAGAATTGTCATATATTGAGAAATTAAGAATTGTACTTTGAAAAAAGTCAAGACTAAAAGAAGAAATCATAATGGGAATTAGAAAATGGTTTGGGCTGAACAATAACAAAAATAATAAATATCCAAACTAGTAAGATGCACCTGAAGTAATAATTAGCTCCAGTCATGTAAATAATAGAGCCTTCAGTATAAATATTAGAAAAAAAGAAAGACTGAAAATTAATGAACTAACCATCCATATGTCAAGAGGTTAGGGAAAAAAGAAACAACAAAATAAGGTTGAAAAAGAAGGCAGGAGCATACATATTTGAGGACCGGGAGAGCCAAAGTTGTTTTTGTTTTTGTTTTTTTTTTTAATTTTCTAAGGTTAATAAAATATTTTTCTTTGTTAAAATTACAGGCCTGGATATTTTTAGATTTGTAAAATACGGCTGGGCGTGGTGGCTCATGCCTGTAATCCCAGCACTTTGATAGGCTGAGATAGGTGGATCACTTGAAGTCAGGAGTTCTGAATTTGAGACCAGCCTGGCCATCATGTACCCCATCTGTACTAAAAATACAAAAAGCGGCCAAGCGTAGTAGTGCCTGCTTGTAATTCCAGCTACTTGTGAGGCTGAGGTGGGAGGATTGCCTGAACCTGGGAGACAGAGATTGCAGTGAGCTGAGATCCTACCACTGCACTCCAGCCTGGGTGAGGGAGTGACTCCATCTCAAAAGAGAGAGACAGAGACACAGAGAGACAGACAGAGCGAGAGCGAGAGCGAGAGCGAGAGAGAGGAGAGAGAGAGAGAGAGAGAAAAGCAAGAGAAGAAAGAAGAAAAGGAAACAGAAAGAAGGAAGGAAGGAAGGAAGGAAGGAAGGAAGGAAGGAAGGAAGGAAGGAAGGAGGGAGGGAGGGAGGGAGGGAGGGAGGGAGGGAGGGAGGGAGAGAGGGAAGGAAAGAAGGAAGGAAAAAGAGAGAGATAAAGAGAAAGAAAAAGAAAGAGAAAGAAAGGAAAGAAAGAAAGAGAAAGAAAGAAAGAAAGAAAGAAAAGAAAGGAAGGAAGGAAGGAGGAAGGAAGGAAGAAGGAAGGAAGGAAGGAAGGAAGGAAGGAAGGAAGGAAGGAAGGAAGGAAGGAAGGAAGGAAGGAAGAAAAAGAAAGAAAGAGGGGGCAACATTGTCTTATTCCTGACTTCAAATAGCAAACTTTGGTTTACCAGTTTTGGAAAAGAGTTTGGCATTATCTAAAAGTTAAAGTGTGTACCTCTTCTAAGGCAGCAGTGTCATTTCTGGGCATATACCCTAGACTAACTCCAGCACATTTCTCTCAGGGTATATGTACAAGAATAGCAGTGTCATTTATAATAACAGTGTTGTGTGGTAAATTTTATATATCAATGAAATAAACAAAGTACAAGTATAGTAAACAAGTTGGATTGTTTTTATCATAAAGGAAAGGAAGTAGTGCAGAAAAAATACATACAGTATAATTCCATTTATATAAAATTTATAATGAGGCAAAATGAATTACATTACATTTTTTGCATATACTTTTATAGGTGGCCAGTAATATCTTCACCTCTGTGGTAGTTACCTTGGTGTTTGCTTTGTAATTACTCTTTCTGTTTCACATTTCCATTTTGTGCACTTTATGCTCATATGTCATATTTCACAATACAGTATGTTAAATGTTTTAATCACACATATATTAGTTCATATTTTCTTGAGTCCAATGCTGCTATTGTGAAGTTGCATCTTAAATTT